GGTTGGCCAGCTGGCAAGGGACCATGGGAGGGCTCCAGGGCATGTCTGGCCCATTTTGTTCAGTCCCGATCACCCGGATTCCAGTAATAAACTAACCTACTGGTTGGAGCATCTATCCTCTGGTGATCAGTGCATGTCATAGTGACTGGTTGACCAGTCAACTGTCTGCGCCCCCCCCCTCCCAGTGGTCAGTGCATGTCATAGCGAGCGGTTGAGCAGCCTTAGCATATCATTAGCATATTATACTTTGATTGGTTGAATGGCCAACCAGTCAACCGGACACTTAGCATATTAGGCTTTTATTATGTAGGATAATAAAATGCTACTGCTCAATAAAAAGCAATGAACTATTGATGTATGCAATGACATGAGTGAATCTCAAAATACTGCTGAGTGAAAGAAGCCAGATCTTCTCCACCTTCACAAAAAGTACACACTGTTTGACTCCATATATATAAAACTTTAGAAAATGCAAACCAATTTGTAGAAACCACATCAGTAGTTGTTTGGAGTTGGGAATGGATAGGCGGGGATGGGAGGGAAGTATTAAAAAGGGGTACAAGAAAACTTTTGGGGTGAACATATTGTCACTATCTTGATTGTGGTGATGGCTTCATGAGTGTATACATATGTTAAAACATTAAATTGTATACTTTAATATATACAGTTTATTGCATGTTGATTGTACCTCAATAAAAATATTACATACCTGTTATATGTCAGATATTTTGCTAGTTGTTTTAATGAAATAGTAACTTACTTCTGAAAGTACTGTGTGGTAGGGATAAAACTGAATTTCAGAGAAGAGTAATATATCTATAAAATAAGAACATGTTTTATAAAGAGGAGGAGGAGTGGAAGAGAGAAAGGAAATGGGAAATGGTGAGTAGAACCAAAAGTGATTCCTGGAACAGAGGGAGGAGGCAGGGTAGAAGAAAGCCTTTTATTATATAGGACAATAGATTATGTGGCTGATTATATTTTCCAACATTATTTCTTCTTAACAATATAGCTCTGACATTTTTCCCATCAAGAGGTAGAGTCTGTTTTTCTTCATCTTCATTATAGGAAAGCTTGTGATCACTGTGGAAGTAGTGCTATGTGATGTCTGAAGTCATTAAAGGTGATTCAGCTCCTGCCTGGTTTTCTTCTGATGTTTACTCTTGGAACACAGCCCCCATGAAGAGGTTTTATTGACAGCTCCATCTGACCTCTTACTTGTAACCAGTATTGACCAGCCTTTGGGTAAGTCACCTCTAGCCTTTGAGTCACCCCAGTTAAGGTCCTGACTTTATGAAGCAGAGAGGAGGTCATTGATGTCTCCTTCATGAATTCCTGACCCACAGAATCTGTGAGCACAAACAGTTGTCCTTTTACAGCACTAAGTTTGAAATGTCTTTTTATGTAGCAATAGTAACAAAACAGGTGATAGGGAGGAAGGAGGAGAAATGGAAATAATAAAAGAAAAGGTAGGATCCAGTCCTCCTGAAAAATTAGAAAAGGTTTATGAGTAGTTTTAGTGGATTTTGAGAGTTAATACTCCCAGAGAAGTGGCCTAAGGCTTTCTGGGATGGGCAGTAGCTCTTGTCATCATGGATACCAGGAAGGTGACCACAGTAGCTAAAGTATTAAAGTGGAAGAAACTCCCTCATCATCAGCCATCTGACAGTCCTTACAAAACCAAGAGTATGGCCAACACATGGGGCAGGATTTGCCAGTTTCCTGACTCAGGAAGAAATGTATAAGAAAAATTGCTTTGGGTTATTATAGTTAACTAGAGGCCTGGTGCACGAAATTCATGAGCTTGAGGGGCTCCCTCAGCCAGGTCTGTGCCCTCATGCAGTCCGGGAGCCTTCAGGGGATGTCTGACTGATGTCTTAGGCCTGCTCCCTGCAGGGAGCAGATCTAAGCCGGCAGTTGGACATCCTTAGTACTGCTGCAAAGGTGGGAGAGGCTCCCGCCACTGCCATTGTGCTTGCCAGCCATGATCCTGGCTTCTGGCTCAGATGCCTCCTGTGGAAGTGCACTGACCACCAGGGAGTAGCTCCTGTATTGAGTGTCTGCCCCCTGGTGGTCAGTGTGCATCATAGCGACTGGTCGTTTTGCCATTCAGTCCATTTGCATATCAGCCTTTTATTATATAGGACTACATATACTATAAATTAAGTACTCATGGTTTTGGCACAACATAAATCTCAAGAGACAGAAGAAAAATAATTTCTTGATCTAATTTTGTCCACTCCATTAACTCTATTATGGAGATGGCAAATAAATTTGAGAATGAGTCCATCTGAAAAAAGAACTACTTCTAAAGTGTATATGTTCATGTAGTCCCAGAACTATAAAGGACATACTGTGAATTCTGATATCAGGGTCTGGTTCTGGGTCACTAGTGAAGTAGTAACAACCCTTAAGCAATGTGCTTGCACTGATTTGGGTTTGTTTGAATTTTGTTTTCAGGATTTATAGATTTGTTCTTGTGTGAGCCACTCTAATTTGCCTTTGCTAGATGCCATGTGGGGATAGTCTACTTTTTTGATTCAGAAAGTTCGTTGCTAATTTTTATCTTTGCTTGTGTTCTTGTTCAGAATACAGTTTTAGGTAGAGTCTTGATTTCTACAGATTCTGCTGTTTCCCTCAAACAGGTATATTATAGGCTAGCTGCTTTGCCTGTTAACAGAGGAATGGCTGAGTAATTTCACAGCTCTCTTGCCTAACCTGAACCTGATCACACACTGCATTCTGTCTGGAGGGATGGTGCTTGCTTTTCAGAGGGACCAGTGTTTGTGGTAAACCATGGCAGTGGAAAGGGAATTTAAAAACTCATTTGGAGGGAAGAGTCTTTTTCAGCTGCATGTGAGCTGAAATGGACCTCCTATTCTGTGTTTCTCTCACACTTCCTATATTACAACATTAAACATCCTCCAGGGGACTGGAAAGCTCCAGAAAGTTCTGTTTAATCACTTCATGCCCAGTATCATGGATACCACACTTGCAAGATGTGGGGCATGTTACCCCCTGTGGTTAGGATAACAGCTATTCCCAGTTTTAAACACATGTAATGCTGGGGCTGGCCAGCAGACCTAAGCAATGGATGAATGGATTACTCCGACACAATGTTTGCTGTGAAAGGGAGGCCTGGCTATAGCAACCAGGCAGCCTGGATAGCCTGCCTCGTTAGCCTTTTATGGTAACCGCACTTTGAGATAAAGTTTATCTTTAGATACCATCAGTAGGGTGAATAATCTTGGGAGGACACTGGTCTTTACTAGTACATTGTCCTCTAGGCAAGGGCGTCCAGAGATTAAGCATAAGGATTCCAGTAAACACCCGGGGGTCTGCACATGCACAGACTTGTTTGGAAAGGTCAAGGAATAACTAGGGGCGCCACCTTGGACACTCCCCTAAATCTCTCCTAGGTTGGAATTCGGATAAACAGGGCAGGCGGCCTTCCACACACTTCCCTTTTATCAGAATGTCCTCCTTACAAACTTTCCAACCAAGTCTCATGTGCTCCCCAACAATCCAACACAAAGTGAAATAGTCACAACATTATCCTCAGGGCTAGTGACAGAAAGGGAGAATGTTATAGGGGCTAATTTGCCCACATTCAAATAACTTATTTTTTTAGAGCCTAGTTTGGACTCCAGTTCATGGTTTTGCTTTTCTAAGTTTATTTTTACATCACACCTTACCTTGGAAGAGGATGTAAGAGAACTCCCTTTCATGGGAGGGGAAGGGTTAGTATGTTAAAGTTGAAGATAAGAATTGGCCTGGCTGTTAGTGAACCATGTAAAAATAATAAAGCATATCCTTCTGGTTCCCAGACCCACATCAGCTTTCTCACACATTTCGGCCAAACTGTCTTTTGTACTTGTAAAGAGATTCACAACACCACTGGATGGGTGGGGTGGGCCCCAGTGCAAATGGGCTGATAATCTAGTTTTGGGGTGTGTGTGTGTGTGTGTGTGTGTGTGTGTGTGTGTGTGTGAGAGAGAGAGAGAGAGAGAGAGAGAGAGAGAGAGAGAGAGAGAGAGGCTATACACCAGAGTTGTCAAAGTGGGGTAAGGCCCAACAAGATATTGTTTAAGAAGTGTTCCTAGTGATTCTAACACACATGAAAACTTGAGAACCACTACTATAACCACGACATGCAGAAAACTATTTTATTCACGATTTGTCCTCAATTGCAAGGAAAATTGTGTAAAATATCTTTTAGTAATAGGATGTCAAAGAAAGAAACACCCTATTATCATGTACCCATAATGCACTTGTTAAGCACTTACTGTATGCAAAGGACCATGTTAGCTATTGTGGGGAAAGGGAAGATGAGTAATATATGGTCCCAGCCTTCTGTGAGCTCATCCAGTGTTGATAAGCTGTGAATATTTGGTATACATTTGTACATATTTGTTTGTGCATATTTGATTTGCCAATAGAACAGAAATATAAGCAGAGTGGCTTGTCTCATTGGTGGTTATGTATAAAACCTACTCACAAAATTAGGAGCATGAACAACAGACTGTTGAATCTAAGAGGGAAGGCAGGGGATGGTGAGTGGGAAGAGATCAACCAATGAACTTGTATGCATTCTGAAAAATATGGAACCTGTGGACACAGACAATGGGGTAGTGAGGGCCTGGAGGGAGGTGGGAGCTGACTGGAAGAGGTCAATGGGGGAACTTATGTAATACTTTCAACAAAAAGATAAAAAAGAAGAAAAGAAAAATATGGGTGAAATTCACCACTGTATTGTGGATATTCTCAAACCAGCTTTTGCTCATCTCAGGGATGGGGGAATAGTGTTCATGAAAGGCTTAATAGTTTGAATCATAGCTGTTCATCTGTTCAGTAACTGAGCTAGAATGCACAGCCTCATACTTCTTCCCTGTTGCTTTGCCTTATGAATCAGCCCCAGCCCCAAGAACCTGAGGCCAGGACAGGATCACCAAGGCATCTTCTACCTGCTCAGCAATTAAACAAAGTAGCGATAGACTCTCCCTTCTATTTAACTTTTATTAAAAGAAGTGCTAAGGTACCGAGATGCAGTACATCATATTTATTACCAAAATTATTAACAAATATACAAAACTTATACATGTAATTTTCTTACATCCATTTATTCTCTATAATACTGATTTTTGTTCAAGTAGGTTATCTACAGTATGTAAACATCCCTTGGATTGACCTCACACAGATTAGGAAAGCCCTCTAACCCATGCTTTTATCAGATACTTCTTTTTATTTGGCTTTCATTTGTAGCATCTAATCTTCACATTTGGCACATGGAAGAGACATCTACAGTGCAAAAGAGGCAGGTTTTCCGGTTTCATTCTGAACAATTTTACAGGTGCACAGTGAAAGTGCTGAGAGAACAAGAGCACTCCAACTTGATGGAGTTCGGTTGGTTGTAATGCCAACAACTCCTGGTTCAGCCATTAAACTGACGTGCAAGGTCAATGCCTCTTCCTTCTCAAGCCCCCGACCCCCACCCCTCATGCAAGGCTGATCTGCCTTCCCCTGGTCTCAAAAGGGTTAAAAGAAATTCCATCCATCTCAGGACAAGTAGGTTAATTCCACCGGGTAACATTATTTTTTTTCAGTGTTCTTTTGTGTGGGTTGTTTTGTGCGGTTTGATGAGTCAGCAAAACTCTTAATTGGAAAATACAATAAAATAAAAAAGAATGTGAGAATAGAGCTTTCTGTCTGCTTTCAACTGCCACCCTAAGATCAGAGCTTCTTTGTGGGGGAAAAGTGACAAAGGCCTTGGTGAAAGGCAAAGAAAAGCCAAGCTTGCCGCACTTAACCTTGGACTCCAAGCCTTTGAAGACAGTGTCCCAAAAGTTAAAAAAGAAAAAAAAAAAGATAATTGGAGATTCTGCCCCCTTCTTCTTGTGTTTCCTTGTGTTCCTTTAATCTAACCAAGTAGTAAAGCTGATCCAGAAAGTATTCCGTTCCCCTGCTCACCCCCTTCTCATCCTCCAGCACAGTATTGCTAGCGTGGGTTGGTTGCACCTAGTCCGCGAAGCCTGCGTCTCGAACGCCAGGGTTTTGTCGGGCCCGGGCTTCCGTCACCACAGGGAGGCCGGCCCCTCCGACGCTCCGTAGAGCTCGGCCAACTTCCGGAAGCGGGGCCCCCAGTCTGTGAGAAAGTCGAAGTTCTGCTCCGAGTCTGATGTGGCTGACTGCAGGGAGCTCAGCGACCCCGCCACCGAGCCGTCCCCCTCGAACATGTAGGTCTGGAGGGAGTCAAAGGGAGGGGCCCACAGGTCCATGTCGGCCTCGTAGAGCTTGGCCAGCACGTAGCTGTGGACGGTGCTGCTCACGGAGCACGTCTGAGGCACGTGGCGGGAGAGGCTCTCAATCTCGGGCAGCATGTCCTGCCGTGACTTGGGGGCGCCGCCCACCTGCGCCTCCCGCGGGTTCCACAGGGCCGCGATGTCAAACGCCTCCGTGTCCTCCTCGCCGCCGCCCTCGTCATCGTAGCGGACGATGTTCTCGTGGATGTTCTCGTCGTCGTCGATGATGTAGGGCTGTTTCCGGTGCCGCCTCATGGACAGGATCAGCAGCACCAGCACTGCCGGGGAAAGAGACAGGAAGTTAACCCGAGACGGGCTGGATTCGCCGCAGGGAGGTCCAGCTTCTCAGCGGGGAGCCCGGAGACAGCATTGGTATGTTTTAAACCACGGGGTTCACCTCGTTCTCACCCGTTCTGCGTGTTGGATTGAGAGTGCAGGCAAGTGAAGCCCTGTTTTCCCCCAAGGGCTTCAACTGGGAGCTGCATCTAAAGCCTCTGCATCAGCTTGGCGCCTTGACGTTGTGTGTGGGTGCCATCCCCAGCTATCGCGTATAAAATCCCGTCAAAAAGCTCAGAGCACTGTGGCCTGCCATGGAGATTACGCTAAAGATCAGATCACGTCTTCCACTCTGTAAGGCTGGCTGTAAATTGCCTTATTTATTATGTGGAAACCTTATTATGTAAGTGGCACCCTGCTTTCTTACATTAGCAGCTCACTGGGATCCTATTATGGAAATATCACATGTGAATGCGTTTGCATATAGGCTTATATGCTAAGTGTCAGCCAAAACCTTCACCTTTTTATACTTCCTCCAGAAAAGAGAGCACCTGACCACTGTTTTCCAATAAACTCAGTTCCTCAGAAAAGCCTTTCGCTAGTTGGAGAGTTGGTTTTGCCTTTCTGGAGCCAGTGATATTGGTGGAAGGGAGGGAATGAACATGGCATTTTATATAATTCATCGTGTTATCAAAGACGCACCACACTGTTACATGTGTGGTTGAAGGTTTGGATAAAATTTTATCCCAACAAATATATATATTTTTCCAGGATCTGTTCACTGAGGTTTAAAGGAGAGAGAGATAATCCCATTGAACTGTTTATCTCTGAAAATGTTTTCCAGGAAGTGTGTTGTTTTAGCTGTAGAACTACTATTGATTATTTTTCTGGTGTGCGTTGTTACAGCTAGTGAACAGGGACAGCTTGACAAAACTGCAAAACCCTGTTTATCCAAGGGGGGAAAAAAGAGTATATGCCCAGTGAGATAATGGATGGACTTAAAAAACTAATAATAATGCTCTTTAAAATTTGTAGAATGTGCTTTTTATAAATTGCAATTAATGATGTTAATACTTAATGTTTTCCCAAAGAGCTTGCGTGACAAAAGTACACACAGGAAACAATTAGATACTCTTGTATATGTGCAAAAATATAGCTAATGACTATAAGTGTGGGATTTCAGAGCAATGGACTAAC